GGCTTTACATGCCTGTGAGCTTCGCGTGCTGCTTCCCTTTCCTTGCAACACGCTGCCTGTAACTGCGCTCCAGGCCAGCGGGGGAACCAAACATTACTGAATTGCGCAGCGAAGGGCTTTCAGATCAACTTAACGTGAGCCCTGGCCTCCTGCTGCGTGTGGCTTCATGGCACTAACCTGAACTGCATGATAGCAGTGTCATCTTTCCCCTTTCCCCTCTTTTGGCTCCCAGCGTCATCGTCATCCAGGACCTGTGGTGGGGCTGATCAGGATCCTCCAGCTGGAGAGGCTGCTCCAGGCTTGAAAGGATGAAGCCTAACTCGCCCAGAAGCTGAGGGTGGAGGACTGCAGGTGCTCTTGGTGAAGCCTTTGAACATACCAAGTGCTGCAGCAGGCAGCTGGCCGGTGTTTCTATTTGTGCAGCAGAGCTACCAGCTGCTTTTATCTCTCAGACCTTGCTCCCCAGCTGGAGAGTGGGACAGTGCCTGCCCCCTCACTTCCCAGCGCTGTTCATCGCGGTTGTTAACCTTAAAATCGGTGAAGCAGCCCGTCACTGAAGCAGTGAGTGCCACAGAAAAGCCCAGAAGGAAACAAATTCTGGTGCCAGAGGCAGGTTTGAACAAGCAGCATCGTGTACTGGGCAGCAAGCAGAGATGGAGCTTTGCATGGAGACACTGGGGCTCCGTGTGCCTCCTTGCTCCCGGCCCTCCTCCCTTCCCTGAGAGGCCTTCCTCAGCCCCACTGCTCCTTTCCCCGCTTTGTGCCCATGGGAGCACAGACGTGGGGTCCCCGCCCTCTCACCCCGGAGTGCCCAGCCCGGGGAGCAGGGCGTGGGCAGGCTCGGCTGCTCACGGACATGGCCGGCCTGCGACGCGGCGAGGACCGCAGTGCCCGCCCTCAGGGGGGTCTTTGGAGCCCTCAGAGGGCTGCCAGAGAAGGTAGTTAGATGTAAGCCTGCTACCAACCCTGGACATTGTGTTTTAAATGGGAAAAAAATGGCAGGGCCAGAAATTTGGAAAAGGTTGAAGATCACTTTGGGAACTTGCTGTTTAAAAACTCATTAATGTTTTGTTTCCTTCATGCTTGAAATTTTGCTAAATTGGATGCATAGATGAAACAATGATGTTTCTCTTTCTTAGCCTTCAGCTTGGAAACGTTTGGACTCTCTCTCTCTTCCCCACACAAAAGCTGTCTCAGCCAGAGCAGGCATAAATATTTTTATCAGACTTAAATTGCTTGGGCTGAAGTTAAAAGCAAGGGAAAAGAGTGGCCTTTGTTTTATGGGGAAGGCTGGACCGCCCTAGCAGCAGTGCTGCTGGTTTCACCTGTATTATTTAGCTTTTCCATATTAGCCAGGAAAGCTGTGTTTGATGAGATGTGGGAATGCTCTGCTACTTCCCCTGCTGCTGTCAAGGCCAGGCTCCACTGACCTTGGTCACTGAGCACGATTAACCTTAAGCCTTAATTGGAGTTAAAGTTTGGCTTCATTTTCTGGTGTGAATAGCTACAGTAGCAAAAGGGCAGTTTTGACCAGGAAAACGTCCTCTGTTCAGGCTGAAAACAGACATGCCTCCTGCAAATTCATGTCACCTGAAGGTGGTGTTGCTTCCAGTTTTCATCCTGACTCTCTTCCAGAGGTTGATGCCTGTAGAGTTTGCTGGGGGAAAATGCTGTCTGTGTGCTTCCTAACCTACTCCTGCAAAATCAGCTGGGGTAGCCTAGACCATCAGTGTGACTCAGAATGAATTCAGCTCAGTTGGCCAGTGGTGGATTTGGGGATGTCTGGCCTAACCCCTTCTGCTAGCAGAGCTTTGGGGTGGGTAACCTCTGGAAGCGGTGTGCCCATGGGCAGCTGGGCATGGAATAGTCTTGAAGAGTACAAGAAGATCTTAAGGAAGCTGACTTCTTTCAGCCTTATGCATCTAAGAAGTAATCCAGTAACACTAAAACATCCCATCCACAGGGACAGAGGTCTAGCGGAGCAGAGCAGCAACGTCATGCTGGTCAAGACTGCAATGGAGGCACCTGGCCCTTGGCCATGTTATTTTTAAGCTTGGAAAGCACACGTGGTCCACAAGAGCGTAGCACTAAGGAAAGGAACTCGCCAGCGCTTCCTGCCCTGCCCCAGCAAACCGATAAAGCCCTTTGCAATACAGGGCGACCCCAGTTTATTTTTAAAATGTGGCCAGGCATGGAGCTTACAGAATAACTGGAATACCCAGCTTTGGGCATTAATTCAGCTTTAATTCATTGCCTGATGAATTAAAGAGTTAATGTAAATGTGAAAAGGACGAGAAAGGCCAGCAAACTATCATCTCCAGAGCAATGTCTGTGTAAGGGCATGCATCTATGCATATACATGGGATCTAAAAAAAGGGTAGTTAGTAAATGCTATGCAGGGAGGGGTTCTTAGTGTTATCCTGAGTACCGTGTGAATTTTCTTGCTGCTTGGACAATGCATCTCAATCCTGTTCCCTTCCCTTGTTATTCCAGTCCCAGCCCTCTTGTAAGCAAAGATAATTGCATGCCGAAAGATACCGTTCCCATGTACAGTAAGTGCTCACATTGGGGAAATCTAGGTTCCTGCAACCAAAAGCCAACAGTTTGTTGTGTAGTAATGATAACATGGCCCACTGGGATGCATCTCTCTTTATTGCATGCCCTGTGGAGGCATAAATGAGATGATTGCCAGAGATGTTCTCCATCTTGCCCCGGGGCTGGGACAGCAGGGTTGCTGTGATGCCAAAACATGGTGTGTTCAGGCCAGGAAGGAGCTATTGCAGGGGGAAAAACTTACAGCCCTCAGCTCCCGGTCCACACACAGTGCCTCACCGTCTCTTGGCTCTCTGTGAAACAGCCTTATTCCCACAGCAGGATCAATTGGCTTGTTAGGAATAAAATTACTCTTTCTGGTTCAATTGATTAGGTATTTTATGGATAGATGTCTTGGTTTAGCTCACCACCAGCCTAAATGCTAGCAGCTGCTCTATCACCCGAAAACCCCCTCCCAGCTGAGAAAGGGAAATTGGGGAAGGAGAGGAAACTTGTGGGTTGAAATAGGTTGAGATAGAAACAGATTTAATAAAACAATAAAAATAATTTTAATAATAAAGCAATATAAAGTACACAGTTATACTCAGCCCATATAGTGGTCATGAGCTGCGTGCTCCCAGCAGCAAACGTTGGTTGGCAAACCCTGCGAGCAGCACAGCTCCAGTGAAGGGACGGTGGGCATCAGAAGCCAGGTGACAGGTGAGACCCTCCAGGGGTGGCAGCCATTGAGAGAGAGAGCTGTTCCCAGCAGAATTCCCAGTTTATGGGAGAAAGTGTCTTACCAACTTCATTCTCAAGTTATCAACCAGTAATGGGTGCTGCAGTCATCTTAGAAATGCAGCTTTCCTGAACAGAAAACTGATTTTATGATTCTGTCCCAGCAAAACCAGGACAATCAACTTTATTTCTGTAACAGAACCCCTTTTCTCTCAAACACACTTTTGAGGTAGTACAGGGGCTGCGTTAAAATGTCCCAGCTGGAAGAATAAAGACCCATGCTTGTCCATCTTGTCCTTCTGATCTCCCTGTGCTAGGACTGAGGGGTAATGTTGCTAGGAAGAGGGACAGGAGAGCTTGCCACGTCTCAGCAGTGGGTGACAACCTCAAATTGTCCTGCCCCGAGCAGGCACTTGGGATCTTGATAGCGATGCTAGCCCTCCAGAAACAGAAATGCCACCTGGGAGGACACAGCCCGGGTTTTATCCTGAGCACTCTCTGGCCCGGACCTCTGGGAGGCCTCTTCAGGGCCAGGCGGATGTCCCAGCAATAGGACCATGTCCCAGAAAGCTAGGAATTAAATTATTTCATCACGTGCCCAATGGCACGGAAAGCTTTATGAGGTGTGAGGTCCGAGCAGCAGAGGCAGTAACCACACGAAGCAACTCCAGAACACCATGGCAGTTTTGGTCATGCCAAGGGCCCGTGCGAGGACTGACATGTGGGACTGTTGCTGGCACACGGCTACCTGTGGCAAGCACAGTGACCACAAGGCCCGGGGTGTGTTCTCGCAGCCACGCTGAGGTCACTTCAAGCAGGGGTGAGCTGGCTGCAAGCCCAGCTGTTAAGGGGGTGCTTGGGGAAGATGGCTTACATCAAAGCCATGGTGTTTACCATGTTACTTAGTGTCTTCCACAGATTAACAGTGAAGTAAGCACCAAAAATAAACAAGCCGGTGCTTTTGAAACCACTGGGCTGAAGGAAACCCTTTCCAGTTTAGTAATCTTTCTGCCCCTGCCCTTTTTCCAGGGCCCACCGTCATGAGGCGTCCTGGGGGCCGGGAGGGTTTGCCACAGCCTGATCCTGATGGTACTGAAAGGCAGGAAGAGCTCCGCCCGTAGTGCCTGCTTAGAAGCACAAAACCATGCAGGCTTGCTCCCACCCAGGTGCACATAACCAGCACCGGCAGCAAAGATTGCCTGGATCCAAGCAGGCTGCGTGGGTCCCCAGACGAGCTTAACATGGAAAGAGGCCAGGACAGCTCTGCCTATGCCATCCCCATGTCTGCAACATTAGCCTCATGTTGAGGGAAAGCAGTGGGCATCTCTAGCCCTGCTTTTTTACATCCAGGGAGGTCCTGCCTCCTTCTTTCCCTTTCTGTCCTGAGAATTTTAAAAGAGAGAGGAAGGACATGCCCTCCCACACTGCCCCAACAGCATCGCAGTAGGTTGACAGAGCAAGCGCCTTCACAGTTCTGTTCAAAGTTAATTTGATAAGAGGACACTTTCATCCTCACTATCTGCTGATAAACTCTCTGGGAAGATTGGTTGATAACTTGCAGGAACAGGCATGTGCTTAGGGGCTTCCAGACTCAAGCAGTTTTTTCAGGGCTAGAAAGGATGCCAAAGCTTTATTCAACTGGGGAGTTTCTTTCCTTTTTCTTCTTGAGGGAATATACTCTGAATTGTGGGTCATTCTGCCTTTCTTTCTCTTCCAGGGAAGGAACTGCCATGCCCGTGGGAATCTTCCGGGTGTGCCTAGTGGTGATTACAGCTATTGTCAACCACCCGCTCCTCTTCCCTAAAGAGAATGGCACTGTCCCCGAGAATGCAGAAGAAATCATCCAGAAGATGAAGGAGCGGGAGGAGAGCCTTCGGCTGGAGCAGTTGCGCTTGGAGCAGGAAATTGCAGACCAGGAAGCCACACAGAAGGCTCTGGAAAAGCCTGCAGAGGTAGTGGAGGAAAGCAAAGAGGAAAAGGTCCGATGGGATATGTGGACTGCTCTTTCCATGGTCATCTTCCTGCTGTTAGTTAGAAATGGCTTAATTCCCTGCGGTAGGATTTCCAGGAAGGGAATTGGCAGGACACAGGAGGAGAAGAGGATGACATGGCTGTCCTGGGGAAAGCATTTAAAGGAGTGGCCTTCCCTGACAAGGCTGTCTTGGCCAGCTTCTATGAGAAACGCATCCTGGGTACCACCGGAGACATGGCCAGGATGCGCGAGATGGTGGAAGGCTTTGCAGATGACCTGCTGGAGGCCTTGAGGAGTGTTTGTAACCGGGATGCTGACATGGAAGTGGAGGACTGCATGGGTGTGGGGAGCATGTATGAGAATTGGAGAGTGCGTAAACCTTTTGTTTGTGATCTGATAGTGCCTTTTGCCCCTCCAGAGCCATACTGTTTTTGGTCCCAGACCTGGTGTTCTGGCGACTCTTTTCCCCCAGATGAACAAGGTTATGGCACTATCAAGGTATGCAGGGTAGATGAGGATGTGACAGGTTGCATCTGTGACAAGACTAAACTAGGGGAAGATATGCTGTGTCTCCTCCATAGCCAAGCCAATACTACCAAGCCCAGCAGTGAGATGGAAGACCTCCTGTGCTTCAAAAATACTCAATATCTGGATGCCGACCAAGTCATGAAGTGGTTCCAGATTGCCATCACCAAGGCCTGGAACAGAATCTCCCACAAGTACGAATTCGACCTTTCCTTCAGCCTCCTGGACTCACCAGGAGCCCTGAAGATAAAATTTAGGTCAGGGAAATCTATTGCCTTCAACCTCACCCCTGTGGTGCAGTACGAGAACTCTGATGTTTACTTCATCTCTCATTTCCCTCGGAGTGGCCTTGCAGCAGACCTCCCCTCCAGCACTCACTGGTTTCTTACCTTCGCAGTATATGAGAGGAGGTTCATCCAGCTGGTCTCCAAAATGATGCCTGCTAACGCCTGCCATGTCAGCTGCCTTCAGATCCTCTCCTTCCTCCATGGGAAGCAGTGCAGCCTCTCAGGTCCAAGTGGGCTCACCAACTACCACCTGAAGACAGTGATGCTGCATCTCCTGCAGGCACGTCCTAGTCATGACTGGGCCCCAGAGAAGTTGGAGGCCCGTCTACAGGACATGCTGAAATTCCTGGAGAAATGTTTGCATGAGAAGAAGCTCTACCACTTCTTTATTGGCAATGGGAAGGTACCAGCAGAGCTGGGCTTCCCCACCATATTCCAGAGGGCTGAGCCCCTCAACCTTTTCCGTCCCTTTGTGCTACACAGGGACGTTTACAAGAAGACAGTGGACACATTCCATGAGATGCTCAGGAACATGTCTGCACTAATAAATGAGTATACAGTGCACATTCCCCTTGCACACAGCAATGGGATCCATAAGGAATCCCTTTAACCAAAGCCAGCAGGAAAACACTTGTTCCTCTAAGCACAAGTCCAGAGGGCAGCTTTCCGAAGCCTCCTGGAGACAACTGACTTTTTGCCAGTACAGCTTCTTGTCTGCAGCTGAACCAGTCCTGGGCCACGGTTCTGCAGTAAGGGAGAGGGGATAGTGGGAAGATAGGGAGAAACTGGAAGTCGTGGTATAAAAATAAGTTTTACTCCACTGGTGTGCTGGCTGGGTTTTATGCAGCTAAGAATATATTTTTCTATTGTGCCTCAGTCACGCTACAGTGGTGGTGAGCAACAAATATGACTAATTTATTCAGATGCCTGCAATGCAAACGGTGGTGGTGGCCAAATACTTCATTTCCTTTGGAAGGGGGTGATAAGAAAAGGGGGGAGGAATCAGAGACAGGATTTTGGGATCGCAGGAGCCTGTCTGCTTGCAGACAGCTGGAGCTCTGTGACCGACGGGAAGCACAGCATAAGACTTGGTGCTGATGTGGGGAGGAAGGTCACGCACAAGATGGATGGAGATCCTTAAATCAACCACAGCTCTTAAATCCAAAGGTAACTGTAGTTATTAAAAAAAGCCTTCTTGATAGGACATGCAGCAGTAGTTTAAATGGTTTGTGCTGTCCTTCAAAAACACTCCTGCACCCTGCACATTTCTTCTCCCCGGGGAGGATGTAGCAGAGCAGGCAGCAGGGTCTGTGTCTTCAGACCATTTCATTCAACTCTCTCATTTTCTTCATGGTAACATGGCTAGTGGGTTATATTCCTGGCTATTTTCCATGGATAAATGGGAAAGGGAAGGCCTTTTTCTACTTTAGGTAAAAGAGAGAAACACCGTTATTGGGTTCTGGTGTTTTGGTTTGTTTGTTTATTTTCCTTTCCTCGGGGCAGCAAGGCTGAGAACAGCCAAGAGAGAAAGGACTGCTACAGGTTATGCTTTCATAAAAGAAGCAGTTCTCCAAAATTATCCTGTAATGAAGCCAATCTCAGCAGTCTGATAGCAGGAGGGAACGATCACCCTCCAAATGAGAGCGTGACTCTACCAGCATGGTTTTAATGAGGCCAAGGCCAGCAGGATGGCTCTGAGTTAGGAGGAGTGGATGAGAGGTGCACATGTAGCAGAGCTTGGCAGCACTGTCTCTGCAGCTGCCCTGTGGTCTGTGTCTGCTCCCAGATACCCAGCCAAAAGCTACCTGTTTGCCTCCATATAGAGTCTCCTCAATCCTTTTAAAGACCGCTGCTCTGATGAGCTGCTGCTAACAGACCATAATTTGCTGAGCTGGGACTGTGATGGGGAAATGACAGCTTCTGCAGGCTTTCAAGCCAGGGCAGAATCTTGAGGTATGCGCTAAAAAACCCAACGCAGCAGTGGAAGTGCCTGAACTCCCTTGGGGAGCAGCACGTTAGTGCTGTGCCAGCGGGCTGCCCAGCCCCGGCGAGGTGGCTTTGCTGGAGGAGAGAGCTCAGTAGCTCCTCAGCCTCCTTCGTGTGCTTTGTGCAGGGTCCCAGCCAGGGCCTTAGTGCAGATCTGCTTTGTGCTGGTCCTGGAGGCCCAGCCTCCAGTGCCAAGGGGCCTTTCCTACCATTTTCCTACACTGGGATTTCCTGCAATGTTTTACACTAGGGCTTCTCTGAATCCTGTTTACAAGACAGTAGTCGTTCTGGGTGGTGAGACCCATCAGGTATGATATTACCGTGACCCCAAAGGTCCCTTTTTATCAATCCTCTCTATTGCATGTATCAGAGAGAAGATTCAATCCTGTATCACTACGAGGGACAGCATACAGCACAAGGCTTATTATCCAGCCTGTTGATAAGCAAACTCTCCATAGAAGTGTTCTCTGCTCCCTTTTCCTGGTAAAAAAAACATTTCACCAGCTCTGTGATGTCTGCTCTTGTCTGTGCCTCCACCAGTGAGGGATATTTCATGCACAAAGGCAGAGAAAGCTGTAACTCCCATTTCCACACCTGGTTTATAAGAAAGCACAGGTGGGGTCAGGGAACTCTTTGCTGAAATTGCTGCTCCCCTTGGCTTTTATCATCATGGCTATGGCGTGGTTAATATTTCTGAGCAGAAAGTAAGGAGTAGAAAGTAAAATGGGAGAGAAGAGGCTGGGGAGTAATGCCGGTAGGAGAAAGTCTTGGATCATCTGCGCTTGCTTCAGCACCCTTGGCGATGAGTGCCTGGGAGACTGCCAGGGCTGGCAGAGCAACAGGGCAGGACTAATTACTAACGCTAACGAGTGCTGTAAGCCCCTGGCTTTCATTAGTACAACCAAGCAAGCTTTCCCCAGTAGGAAAGAAGGCAGGAGCAATTTCAGGGGACATGACAAGCAGGTAGTGACAAGCAGAGGTACAGGGAGCGCAGGTGAATACTGGAGCCTGGAGGCTACGTTGGAAGCAGTGTTAAGTTGTTTGCAAACCCAAGCAATTTGCCATTTTTACCTGCCCAGGTTTACTGCAAAGTGCCTGTAGCAGATCTGGCTTTGCATGGGCTGCTGGCAGGCAGGTCATGCTGAAGCAGTTGTGGTTGGTGTTGCTTCTAAATGTGTTCCCAGCCCAGCCAGAGAGAAATAAAAATTTCTCTGCCATTTCCTGTCAGGAGTCTAAATTTAGACTGTCCAAAGAACAGAAACAAATTTGTGACCCAGGTCTTTCAGGAAATGACATTCAGGGTTGAAAAATAACTTTTATATAAGGTTGAGCAGCAGGAGGATGAGAAGAAAAGGCTGTTGAACAGAATAAGGTAACTCCCCTGTTAAAATGTCAGAACAAAACTTTGTAACGTCAGTCCTACGGGCTTGTAAACATGCCTAAACTCGTCTTTACATAGCTGTGAACACTGCTGCTGAGACTCAAAGGAACCTAAACTGATAAGTGGATTGAATCTTTTGTTCTTCATTTTCTGTATTTGTGTGCCTGTTCTCTCTTAAGCCCAAACTGACCCTGAAGTGTTCCCATGGGGTTTAGTTAAATGCAAGCTGGAGCTGAACCAAGGAATTTATTAATTTGATTCCCTGAAAGCAAATTGCTTGGCTTAATTTTCCTACATGCAATATGCTCATTTTGCCCTGAGCACCCTTTAAGAGGTCTATCTGTGCATTTAGGCTGTGAGGTAACCCACTCATACCTGTCCAGGGGGAGAAGTGCTCTGTGATTATAAGTTGTGCTCCCATAAGCCTCAGGGCAGACATCTTATTTGTAAGCCATATACCAGAGGTATATACGTGTCCCATCAGAGATGTGGGTACACAGCGTTTCTGTGGATCAGACCTCTGCAGTGGTACAAGGAGGCCATGATGTGAAGCACATCATCCGTTGGACTGCCTTGTATCTCCTGTATTAAATCTTTGCCCACCAAGTAGGAACCTATCAGTAAAAGGCCAGACTCACATTTCATAAAAAAGGTTTATAAGACAGTTCAGCTCCATCAGTTGTCAGCCAGTAAAAATGTCCTAAGACTTTTTAATGCCACCCACGTTTAGTTCTGCATTGATTGAAGTCTGGCTGGGCATTTACAGGAAGCAGCCTTAAAGGGTGGGGGTAGAAGTGGAGTTCTGTGGTTTAAAGTGAATAACGTTCTTTTAAAACCAAACAGCATGTGACACGTGAGTAATAAATACACAACACCTCTTTGGTAATGCCTGTATCTCCATGAGAGATCCTAAGGAAGGGTAAACTGCCTGTCCTGGGCACCTTCCTTGTGTCTCAGTGCTGTTCTTGCTATTTGTTAACCGGGTTTAACCGAATTTAACAGATGAACTTCAATTGCCTTCTGCTGATTTCCAACCACTCCCTCCAACTTCAGCTTGTGGTTTTAATATTTTATTACAGGCTCTGTCAAGGCAATGGAATTAGTGGTGGCTTGATAGCAGCCACTGATCTACAGCATAGCCTCAGGAGCCATTTGCCTTTAGGAAATGTCTTGGTCTAAGGTTATTATTGTTGTTCAGGAGCTGAATGTCTTCTAAGGGGAGCTGTTGGTAGTTCACTCTTTAGTATGTGGCAACCACAGAATATAGCTTCTCTCTCTTTCTGGGTTGCTCTGTATACAGGTCTTATGGGGGTATAAAGGCGTATTTCAGCAGAGATACAAAACTTTATCCAGTATTCAAGCGGCAGGATTTGGTGCTTGTTCACCAGATGTTTTTAATGCAAAGTCTTTGCAATGTTTTCTCCATGGTGAAGAAATGAGACTTACCCACCTGTAACAGCTTAGCTGCTGGTCATTGAGGGGTTAGTTCTCATGGGATCCTAAACAGTAAATAGTTTTATTTATTACTTGTTGGGTTTTTTTTTAGGATTGGGGGTGTGTGTGTAATATGTTAGCTCAGAAGCAAAACTGTAGTATGAAGATCAATCTTGGCAATGCAGCTGAGATGGGCAATAACACCAAAACTCTCCAAACTAAGGTCTTCCTTGATTGACAATGCTGTATTCAAACCGCTGCTTTTATAGCAGGTCACTGTTGATTTTGTATAGATCTTCTTATGCAGCTTTATTTATAGTAAAGGAAGTCTTGTACAAAATCTAAAGAAGTGTGAAGTCTGTTTTGTTTCTAGTTCCCCCAAAAGTGTTCCTGAGAGAGCAGAAGGATGAAGTGGGGATGTGCCCAGTGTGATCCTAGCACAGGGAGCCCAATAGCAAGAATCCCTGTGATTTCTGACTGCTTGTAGAAATTGTTCCAGAATAAGATGCAACGTGAACATAAAGTGGAATAGCTATTCCCAAATAACGCCAGGGATGTCAGACTTTCCGAGAATATGAATCCACAAGAATTGAAAATAATTACTCTGGATATCTGCTCAAAAAACACCCTTTTGTGGCAAACCCTAAATATTGCTGGTAGATGTTGCCCTTATTGGCTGAACCAGAAACCTCCTGAATTTCCAGTTCAGCTAGAGGAATCCTCTTTACCTGCTTGTTTTACAGGTATCCACAGCCAAATTGCAGCAACCACCCATTACCACTTAGCCTCCTGCTTCACCCCTGTCCCTG